TGTCTCTACAAATTAAAAAAGCTCTGAAATTATGACCAGTGCCAGAGAAGAATCTGACCCCAAATGGGTTGCCTGAAATAGAACATGTGGTCGCACTGGTGGGGATCACAAGCACTGCTGCTCCAGAGTTCACCTCTTTGTTTTCTTATTTAAAAAACAAAAAAAAGAAGAAGATATGGATTTTTTAGATAAATCTTAGAACTGAATTTACTTGTTAGGGATGGAAAACAACTGAAAAATAAGTGCAACTTCAAGCCCATGTAAATGTGTTTTCCTTAAGTAAAAAGGAAAATCCATCAATACAGTTGTGTAGGTAACTGATGAAATCATCATTTGTCTAGGAGGGATTTTGTGATTATTCAGGTGCATGGCTGGTATTACTTTCAATGTATTAAATGAAATCAACTCTACAGATTGCAGGGTTACAGAAGACAGACAGACTGAAGTCTACCAGATAATATTTTTCCTTTTTATTATTATTCTAATAATTATAATTATGACTCGTACTGCACTAAAACTTGGGAGATGCTGCCATGGACGCTGCAAACTATCTTCCCAATTTAAAAAGAAAGAAAATGTACTTTATAGGTTGTTCATCTCTGCAACGCATGTAGAAAGCCTCTCAAATGGGGGAAAAAAAAAAAAAAAAAAAAAGGTCAAAATTATACAAGGTTCAGCCTAGTCTGAGCCATCCCCCATTTCCTTTCCTTGAGCACATCTGTCTCCAGTGTCAGGTTACTGGTGCACATTCCTCCTGCCTGATGATCACCATTTTCTTCCGGAGCACTGTCACCCCCCAGGCAGGAAAAGCAGCTGAGCACAAACATGCTAGGAAGCGGATTTTTTTTTTTTTTTTCCCCCCCAGAAAGAGCACAAAATGCAAAAGAAGATAAATAGGTTTTCGTTTCTGAGTAGCTTTTCATTTCCAGGCACAGATTAAAATCATGACAGTAAGTCTATCATTTTCTCCTGAAATCATAATTTTCAAGCTAATGAGTTTTGTCTAGACAAAGTAGTCTTCACGATTATAGTCAATGAAGAAAGCAAACATTATATTTGGCTTCTGATGCTGTACCCTGGGCTGTAGAAAAACCACCCTTTATACTCGTGGCTGGCACACAGACCCAATAAAACCATGAAATAATAATCCCAGTGAGATTTGTGGTGAAAAAAATACATCACAGATGCCTAAACAACATTTCAAAATTTACCCCTTTGAGCATTTCTCTGCCAACTTCTTCCCCTCAAGCAGCAGCTCAGATCATTTGGGGGCATTTTTTCTTCCACTTGTTGCCCAGCTCATATACCTTCTTGCAATGTAAGAAAAGAACTTGGAAAACCCTAGAACTTTTTCTAATGATACTTGCCATTGGACTTAATTATTTGCTTCACCAAATTCTTTTGAAGTAAATATTTTTATCCCTGCTCTTGTCTGGTTAGCGAAATAATTTCTCTGCATCAGCAGGATGGATGAATTTGGGGAACACAAAGTTAGAAAATCTGACTAGAAACACTGATATTCTATAATCTGACACTTCTAAATCAAAATAAACAACAATTTTGACTGTTACTATCACTCTGTTGAGCATTCGGCATGTTTCCTCATAGCACAGTAAAGGTCCACAACAATGAATGCATTTTTAGAGATCTCTAGAAGGAGAAAAGATACTAAGGGGGTATCTGAGATACAGAGATTGAAACCAATATTAACATATATAACAATTCCTGTACTTGATAAGCTTAATTTAACATTTTATACTGATAGCATTTGAAAGCTGTTCTCAAAGCTTAATGATAAACACTAGTTTATAGTTATGTGCCAGCCTTCAAAGGAAAGGCAGTATTCAATTTCTGACTAGCAGCACAACAGGGAATGCTAATTAATCCCTCACTCCTTACTAGAAACTGCCCAATTATCTTTCTCTCCTGTTGTTGTCATACAGCTCTGCTTATTCTACTTATTATTACTATGAATTTTACTGCTACTAGCCATTATTTTATCTTTTGTGCTTCCAGTCACTTGCTCTCTCATTTAAATTGTCGAAAGATTTTATATTTTTCTGTGACAAAATAATTTGATATTCCCTCACTCACTTTTCCCTTATTTCTCCCAATCTTATTCTTAAAAATGGCACAATGATTTCAAATTATTTTATCCTCAAATAAATAGACTGTAACAGTCACTTTGTATTGAAAATGTTATCCAGCACAATTTATAGACAGTGAAGTGATACAGTACTGAATATGACTTACTGAAACTTGTCAAGCAAGAGACATGTGTACTATAGTTAATGTTTGATATCCAGGGAAGGCAGCCCTAATTTTTCCTTGTTGTAACCTTTGAAATTATTTCTGTGATGTGCTAATTTTTTTTTCACTTTCTGGAAGTAAAGTGATAATTTGACTATTTCAATCCTATCAAGGAGGAAGTAGGGAACAGAGTGCCTGCTGGAAAAGTAGCAATGACATAGGTAATAAATGCTGAAATCATCATCCCTTTATCATGTTCCTTTCAGATTATAAGAGAGAAGGGAAGCTTTTGATCCAAAAGAACTAATTCTAGCTCCTAAAGTGTTATCTACAGACCTCCAGCTTTCCTATATACTTTACATTCCCTTTCCTCTTAAGCCAATAGGAAAAAACCAAAAAACAAAACAAAACACAAAAGTCACCAGCAAACACTGTGAAAAAGTTACATCACTACATTCTGCCTAGTTGTTCTTTGCTTAATTTCAAGTAGTGGTATGCCACATGAAAGTAAACACCTGAAGGAAAGCCGCTTGCAAAAGAACTATAAATTCTAGAGTGGGACTGCAATACATTTTAGAAATTTCTTCAGTGGGTAAACATTGAATTATTACTGTGGCTTACATGAAAATTACAAGAAATATGTGATGCTCATGTTACAGTGACTTGGACTTTATAACCTTTATAAACCGTTGTAAACTTCTGTAGAGAGTAACTAGGGAATGACAGCTCATAGTAAATCACAGTAAAAGATAAATATTGCTCTTAAATATTGTATCTTACTCAATTTCCTTAAAATCTAATGACTCCTCAGAATGTAAATTTCACCCCATACAGGTGCAGAAGAGGCCTAGATAGGAATGAGCAACAGTCTAGGTATTCTTTCTGCCCTTTTAGCTACTTACAGAGTCCCTATCACTTTGAAGTCTATACTACTTTTCACCTTAACGTTATGGGTCTGAACCTTACATAGCTGACTGCTGAATGAAAGTCATCACCATTCGCAGGGCTGTATGAACGAGGTTTTCATTCATGGAGAACAAGTGAATGCATCCCTAAAAGCATCCTGGTGGAGACGGCGCCAGAGTGAGATTTAGGATATTGAGGATGTAACCCTGATTCTGTCACAAACTCGCTGTATGACCTGGCCATGCCACTTCTCTCCTTCTCCATCACCTTTCTATTTGAAATTATACCCTCTGTAGGACAATTCTGTCACCAGCACCATGGGAACCTGCTTTCAGCTGAGCTAGTGGCATCAATATTAAAGAGAAATCTAGTTTAAAGGCCAGAGATCATATAAAGAAAACATAATGACCACCAAGCTGTACAGATGAACACTGGGAAGCATGTGCTGCTTACGACAGACCAATGTGATCAACCAAAGGAGGATTTCCTTTGTTGCTGTTTTGTCTGAGATATCTTCCTAACAGTCTTGATGTAATTTAAAAATAACATTTAGTAACTATTTTCACCATGTATTCAAGCTGCAAGGTGTCTTGTAACTCATACAGGCATACTTCACCTAGACAAATCAAGTAACCCAGTAATAATGTGTAACTATGAGGAGGGAGTAGCATAAACCATCGACTTAAATGAGCTTTTAAAGAAAATAGGAAAACCCACAACAGGAGAAAAAAAATACAGGGGCAATTTAATAAAACAAACCCCCCCATATATTCTACTCTTTAGGGAATTAGGCAAAGAACGACTTTAGACAGCTTTCAATAACACTTATCTATCAAGAATAGTATTTAATCTATACAGAAAGGTACTCTATTCTGCAAACTTTAAAAGACAAACTGTTTCCAAAAAAGGACAAATTTTCCAAATTACTAGGTACTATTCCATCCCAAGAAATCAACAGGTTGAAAATATGTAAAGGACCAGACGAATTTTAACTGATGCCACTCATTCACTGGATTTCAAAACGATCGCAGCTGCTAGCACATCTCACAGGGTTTTGTCTTGTCTTAAAGGCTTGCAGATCTGCATTGTTACCACTGTTACCAGCTGTTTTCAGCGTGGTTTGTTAAAGCGAGCTTTCGCCATCATCTGGTACAGGTATAACGCAATGTACAGGTGGGTTATGCAAACGTAATGTCCCACCGAAAACTGCTTGCCCCAAAATGTCCCTCTTGTAACAGATATGGTGCGTAATATTTTTTTTTTACCCGACACAGTAAAAAACGAACAAAAAACCCCCTCGCAAATTAATTCTAGAATATTCCGATCTTTTAAAAAGACGGTACAAAAGACCCCCATTAGCCTTAACTGCTACCAGTTTCACTTTGAATAGCCGCAACTTCGCAGCTAGTTTAGGGAAGAGAGAAAGGCTTTGGGCTGCTGGAGCGCTGGGCTGGGGGGCACTTCCCAGCCCCGGCTTTCAGGAGGGACAAAGCGGCGGGGGGGTAGGGGGGCGGACCACACTTCCTGCCACTGCCGTTTCTTTCTGCATGTGGGACCAATATGGGCAATGCAAAGTTTAAACAGTTGCAAATGGGGGAGGGAACATCAGGGCTTGGTTTACTTTTTTTTTTTTTTTTTTTTAATTCCCCCTGCCTGGGTTGAATCTTAAGTGAGGTCGTTGCATTGTTCAAGAGACTCCTTGCCCTTAATGCCTTGACAGAAGCTACTGTTTACACGGACTTTTCATTCCTGCATAGTTTGCTTATGGAAAACAAGGGGGAGTGGGAGAAGAGAGGGAGGCACTGACCGCAGTGGAAGCCAAGAACCTTGCCCCTGCCTGATCATTAACCTTGCTGGAAAACGCGGCTGGCAGCTGCCTCCCCGGCTTGTCCCTGGCATGTGAGCCTGGCAGGAGGCTGCCTGCCTTTTACAGCCACGCCGGCCAGTAATCTATACATTTCTTCGCCTATATACATACACACGCGCCCTCGGAGCGCGCCTCTACGCTTACGGCAGACATGAGACTCCAGCCGCTCCTTTGTATCGTGTTTTTCCTCCTGGCGAGCCTCCTCCCTGCCGACGGGCAGAGGCCAGGTAAGCGATGCGCCGGCGGGGCTGGTGTGCCCGGGGTGCGGTGTGGGGCCGTGCGTGCCGCGGGCACGGCCGGCGTGTTCCTCTAACCCCGTCCAGCAGCTGCTCCTGCCCTCCGGGCGGGTTCGCAGCTGCCCGGCTGCCGCTGCCACGCGTTTTACGAAGGGGTTTTGCCGCCTCGGTCCGTGCGCTTCATCTCTACTTAGAGCGGCAGCGTGAGATGATGCACCCGGTGTCTCAGGAGCCGGGCAACTTGGGGAGGCGGGGAGGAATAAACTGGGACTTGCGGGAGGCAGCTGTTGCGGACCTGCTGCCGGGGCACGGTGCCGGCGATCTCCCCCGACTCCCTCCCTCCCTCTCTGTCTCCGCAGCCAACCTGGCCCTGCGCAGGAAGCTCCACCGGCACGGCTGCTCCCACCGGCGCTGCATGCCGCTCCACTCCAGGGTGCCCTTCCCCTGAGCCCCCGCCGGAGCGTGGCGAGGTAACCCACGCGTGTCGGGGGTGACGCCGGGCGCTCCCGGCGCGGCGCAGCGCGCTTTTCCATTGACACCGGCGTCTCGGAGCAGTTTAAGAGGCATTTGGGGGGCAAGCTAAGCCCCGGGTGTGATCCCGGCCGGCCTCCCTCAGTTCGTCCCGAGAAGCGCGCAAACGCCTCGCCTGGGGCAGGGCGGAAAATAGCCGGCTCTGCTAAATAGGACGAAGTGCTGCCCCGCAGGCGTTTAAGGCCACTTGCAAAGCTGCGGGGCAAACAGCGAGATGAGCGTCGAGGCAGGAGAGGATGCTCGGACACTGCTTCCGCGGCGGGTGCAGGGCAGAGTCACCTCACTGCCCGTCAGTAACGTGAAGGTGGCAGCATTTACCCACTTCAAAGGGGACAGTGATTCTTAATCATTGTCAGCAAAAGACTTTGAGCTCCTCGGATGAAAGGCTATACAAGTGCAAAACATTAATGCTTTATAGCCGATGGGGACATACACATTCAAATAGTAAGTGGCTGCAGCAGCAGGCAGGTAGCATATGCAAACAGGGTAGGCATCAAAAGGAAACCGAGGCGGTCTGGCAATTTAAGAATGAATAAAACATGCAGTAAGTAGTTTTGCAACCCATTATATATTAAAATAACGTTGTAGCCCCAAGCATGACAGCATCATAAATAAATGATGGCAGAACCGTCTGTGGACCCAAGATGTTCCAATTTACTCAGCGGCTAACAGTAAACTGGAGACCAAAGTCAAACTTTTAACAACCCTATACCACGAATCTTGTGAAGACATAAACCACCTTGTTGAAAAGAGCATACACCACTACTAAAACAGCCATGCAAAAAAGGTACCATTCCACTCCATACTGCTGGCCTAGAAATACGTGGAATGCGCATATGGGATGGTAAACTGGCAAGTTGATGAGTCTCAAAAAAGATTACCATACCTTAAATTTAATCTCAGACGGGTTGCATACTGAGTGGCAGAATGGGGCTGCAAGTAGAAAGAGGTACATGCCAGAAGGATGCTTCACTAGTGAATGCCATGTCTCCTCACTGCGCTCCATTTCAACAAGAGACAGATAAATGAGATTCCCTCATCAGTTTAAGCATCAACCTAAAAACATAAGCAATCAGATCAATTCACCCAGCATGCAGAGGCTGAATAACAGACACAGTCGAATTTAAAGTTCTTGAATTTATTCTGAATGGCTTGCTTCAGTTCCTAAGAAAAGTAAATTTAACCCCCCTTCCTCCAGTTCAGCATCCATAACCTGGAGACTGTTTGCAGAAAGCATCTACATTTTCTCTTAATGTGCTCAGAAACAGTACATAATGCATTTTGCTTGAGATGGCAGTAGCCACACAATACATGTGCGGTTACACTGGAATTATTTTCCCTACAGAATATCAAGATAAAAGGGATTTTCAGTGTTACCTTGTTTTCTGTGGGGAGCTGATTTCTTGTCACAAAAATCTATAACAAAGCAAACCAGTGTACTTATTAATTCAGAATACATTTTGTAGACATTTAGCTAAAGATAATTCTGCTTTATAAAGCTGTATAGAAATCCACAAAGCTGGACTGGGGAGTAAGGGGTGACAGGCACCTGAACTAACTCTCTTAACTCCAGTCATCATTGTGGGTGCTCAGCTCCTTTATCTTAAGTAGCATTTACCATCTCTACATTTACATTCCCTTCCAGTTTTAGTCCTAATTCGGCAAATATTTACATGCCTGGGTAACTTGACACACACAAGTAATCTTATTGATCTCAATGGAGTTGTACATATGGATAAAGCTATTTGCAGATGCAAACAGGATGGACACTTAAGCCTGAATTTCAACAGGTGGTTGGAAACTGGGATGAGCATAGCAACTTCTTTTCACAACATTTGAAATGATGAGGGGAATGAACTTGATATTTTTACATAGGCAAAACATGGGACAAAACAAATGGAAATAAGTCATATTAGAAACCTTCTTGCTTTTGGCTTTTTTTTTTTCTCCTTAATTTGGAAATTTCAGCTAAAAAGGTTAAGAAACATTACCCCAAATTTCAACCCTGTATTTAATATATTCTATTTCATATGAGACATTAGACTACAAAATCTCTCATTAATGGCTATTTCTCTCTCTTTTTTTTTTTTTCCCCCAGCAACTTAATAATGGGCTTTTCAGTGTTTTAAAGGAGCTACAATTAAACCAATAGAGAAATTAATCAGAAATCCAGATCGACAACAGCTGACCTGATAGAGCCACTGCAGTCCTGTCTTCATCAGTCAGTCCTGTCTGTCACATTCTGCAAGACCTGGAATGAAGGCCCCTGGCTCCCACCATAGGAAGCAGGGGGAAGAAACGGAGGGTGGTGATGTACATGAAACTTACCTGGCTGAAACATTCCCTGGCTGAAACATTCCATAAAAATTCTTTGGCTCTCACAACGACTAGTGAAAGTTAAAGACCAAATCAAACATCAGGTACTTGAGATGGATTTGCAATGGTATTAAGAAGGACCTGTCCAAGGGAACTCTTAATGGTCTGTATGCTTCAGACAGAGAAATTGGACATGCTCTTGACTACTCAATTCAGGCTCTGTGTAGGGCAGTATTTAGGATGAAATAATGTCAGACTCCAGCACAGAACTGTGAAAGTCCATTTTGTGTTTATACTTTTATATATTAATAATATATACATATATGTTTTAACATCTAACATTACTTTTTTATGGAATTATATTAACAACATAGAATATATTACTGTAATAGTATCCAAGTCAGCACCACACTAGTGATCCTACTGGCTTCATGTATAGTAAGTATAGTAAGAGTTTACGATATAAGAAAGCAAAGAGAGTAGTATCCTTCATTCTACAGATAGAGAGTTGAAGCACACAGAGATAAGAGATTAGCCAAGGGTCATGCGAAACTGATAACTCGGATCTCTCAAGTCAGACCTTAAGGTCAAGCCCATCCTTCTGTCTAATGAGCTGTTACTTCGAAGCCTATCATTTGTTTTCTTAAACTGGGCTGCCAAACCAGACAGCTAAAACATACTTGAAAATTCAGTACTATAGAACTATTTGCTTAATAGTAGTTTTCTTAAAATACCCGCTATAGTATTATAAATAGAGCATAAAAATAGACCATTGAAAAGAAGCCTTTGTTTTGTCAATCTCAGTGTTGCTTAGTACTCTATTCCTGTAGTTTAAATGAATGGGATATTTAGGACACAGCACTACAATGAATGAGAACTTCAAAGAGAAAACAGGCTGTTCTTTTCAGCACTGGAGGTCAAGAATACATTGAGCTTTTATTTCACATTTAGTTTTTAAAAATATATGTTTTACATCTCCTTTTTATGTCAGCAGAAATTACTTACCTACATATAAAGGAAAATACAGTAGCTCTTCCATTAGCAGAACTAAAACAAACCTGAAAATAAGTCATACCCAGATTTTTAATTCATTGCACTAGTCTTGAAATGTTAACATTTTTTATAAATTGTACAAAAATGAGTGAAGATCAGTGGTGTTGTGGTTTCAATCCAGCATTAGAATTTTGTCTTGCAACACATAGTTTCTAATAAGTTAAAGAAAGCAGCAATCAAGAAAACTGGATAGCTGAAACTTTCCAATCAGCATCTATATGTAACCTCATCTCTAAGAACCTGAAACCTTAATCACATTCATACCGGCAGAACTTAACAGGAATTTCAGATTTCTCCGTATAGAAAAATTAAATTTATCACCACACCGTATTCTGGAATTTTAGAAAATCATCATAAAAAGATGGTTAAATTTGTCTATACCAACAAACATCCCTGCAGGTAAACCTTCAGAGTTCTGAAAAAAAGAAAGCAGTTTTCCAAAATTAGAGGCATACTACCACTAATGTTATTTTTTAATTATTTATTTAACTTAGCTTTCTTACGTATCCATGGCTACGTGTTTAGAAGTACAGGTAAACAGTATGGGAAAGCAACAAAGGTGAAGAGTAGCTATTTAACAGTTATGTCTTAAGAGTATATGGATTTAGTGTGGCACTGGATAGTTTGTATAACCATAATTTTTCCGTTAACTTTGATAAAATTTTAAGAAAAACATAGTGTTATCTATCAGAGAGCTCTATATGCACATTCCTTCACAGATGTAAAAATAAACAAAAGAACAAATACCAAAGTGCCCCAGGAAGCACATTGTCAGTCTACAAAATTATTGTAAATGTCTGTTCTTTTTAGACCTGATACCATAAAATCTTCTTTGAAAAAGGCATTGATTGTGGTCTTTGATAGATATGTTTATAAATTAGCCTATTGATTGTATATTTTGTAGAAAGATAGAACACACTTCAAATAATATTCTGTTTTAAATAAACTTTGTACACTTTTCAGAATTATATTCTTCAGCTGTCAAGGGCAATGCATCTAAAGAAAATGTAGAATTTGTCTGGTTTCCCTGTGGATTCATATGGAATCCACGTGTAATAAAATGTCTTACCAATTTCCAACACAAATAGTAGTTATTCATGGAAACATTTTCCTGACATTTTCCGTCTTTATAAAAGCACAAAATTCTGATAAAAGTCATAGAAAAAGACCTTCCTTTAAAACTACTAGGTGTATTCACAGCATGCTGTCATATGACATCCTGACACCATGCTAGGATTACAGCAGAACCCAGACTATGCATTGTCTTCATGCCTAGAATAAGCAAGGTTTTTAATTATCTCAGTGTTAAATCTTGAAATCCGAATGTTACCACAAATTAAAGAAAATGGCCTTAGGACAGAAAAACAAGCTCAGAAGTAGTCTGAGGCATAGCAGAAGCTAAAATGTGTGGAAATGTTACCATAAAAGCCTGTTTTGGCTTACAGTAATTTCTCCCGTTAAAGGTTGGATACTGTAAATAAATTTCTTAGTGCTAGATGTCTTGTACAGTAGAATTAGCCAAGTGATTCTACTACAGCACAACACTATGTTGATGTTTAACTTCAGCGGGAGCAGGGCTTGGAAGGACCTTGTTTTCAGTTGAGCTGGACTTGCCTTTGACTTTGTTGAAACTACCCGTTTTCATTTGATTTGCTGAACATAAGGTTCATCGGGTAAAAACAGTTTTGCATGACAACAGTGTGATTATGTACATAAATATGAAGCATTTGGACACTGTTAGAACAGCCGAATTGACTGAACTCTCCATGTGCAGGTACGAGTGTACATTTAAAGGAAGTTTGTACAAATACAAATTGCTGTGTATTGAAAGTCAGAATTGATGTTTACATAGGTGCAATCCAACAATCAAGACTTGATCCAAGGGTAGATTCAGACCTCAAACAAAGGCAAGACATGAGTTGCTGACACTTTCGAGCTAACTCCTTGTCTTATAGATAGCTGTTATGTGGGGAAAAATTTATTTGAAAGGCAGTTTCATTAAAGCTAGTAAAATTTAAAAGACATTTTAGAGTGAAATACAAGGTGATGTAACAGCAGGGCAACAGGAAATAGAGGTAAATGTAAAGCTGTGGTGAGAAACAGCAGATTAGTGTGTTCCCAAAGGATAATAAACAATTCACCTCTTCCCTTTCCAGCATGGAAAAAAGGAAATTATAGAAGAATAAAGACTGGTAATATTTCCTTTACACCACATACATATGCTATAAATAGTGCCTGTACACACAAAGCCAAATTTTGCTAAGGGTGACATAAGATTTATATCAACACCCATCAGGAGAAGCATCAGTATGGTAAATAAGTTTCAAATGTTTGACTATCATCTGACAAGTACAATTAGCATACTGATTTCTTGCTACTGTGATGGCCTTTATCTTTCTTGCTAGTGATCAACTGCAAACTTTTTGTGCAAGGTGGGAAACACTCCAACAGCGAAAACAGCTCAACCTGTGTCTTTAGTTCCCTATAATGCCTAAAAACCTAACTCATTCCAACCCTGAGGATGTTTTCTGACATCTCTCGAGTTACCTCAGGGTTCAATTGTCTGTCCAAGTGCCTTCAGTCCTTGATACAGCTTTCTTTTTTGGATTAAAAATGACCTTCAGTGGAGCAAGCCTGCTTAACTGCATATTCGCGTGGAAACTTAAAGCATGAAAATCCCATTAAAATCTTTTACAATCAGTGATTTCCTTTGTGAGATGAAATGCTAAAGTGTTTATGTAGAGCTTCCATTATGAGCTATTCAGAAAGACACAAATAGCAACTAAATTTTTCCCTCGTATATGATGCACATTCACAAGAGATCACATTTCTTTCATGCATATAAAATACTTAGCATATTTCAGCATTTCATCTAGAAATTATTAAAAATCCACAATGTGAACAGTTTTTGGGCAACCCATCAGTCTATTAATGTTTCTTAGGGAGTCTGCAACATCGGTTTTCCCAAACCTGAAAAACATATACGTTGTTTTTCAACAGAAACAAAAAGCTACTGGGGTAAAAACTGAGTAAGAAAAACAAGATATAATAGTTTAACATACAGCTTCAACATATACTAGGAAGCATCCCTTCTTTTTAGTTACCTTCTTGCTGCCCTGGTTGCAATCCACTAGCTCTTACCAAGACTATAGCTCTGCAAACATATGCGTTTCAGCAGCTGTAACCACATATGGGAGCATCACCAGTTTCTTCAGCTGTTCAGATTCACACATATTCACCCTATGTGCAGGTTTGCCACACCATGCCCAAGGAAGGCTGTGTTGGTGGTTAGCAAAGTGCTGCTTTGAAGCAGAGCACGTGCAAAACCACTATGTTCACAAAGCGGTAATTCTTTTAATCCCTGAAACTCCAACATTACTACTTACTGAGTGTGCAGCATGCTTATGGATATTACTTCAGACAGTCAGATCCAGCCTGTGACCAGGTGCCAATGCTGCAGGGCCAGTCACCCAGGCTGTAGAATTGCAGATGGACTGAGGGTCACTCTGGAGCTAGTCAGACAGCATTAGCCATGGCAGCACCCAGCCTAGCACCAGCACACACTTTCTGGTAAGCAAAATGCAGCATAACCAGAAAAATTAGGACTCAGCCTCCAATTTCAGAGCTGTGGCGTGTCAGATGCAGGAAGGCCGCTACTGAGCTGAGCTTTCTCTCGCTTGCACAACAGCAGCTATTTGTCCCTTTTATGTTGCATTTTGAGCACAGGCTTGCTCACCTGAATCTCCTTGACCAGCTCCGCTACCAGACCAGGCTCGGTCCAGGGACAGGCTGCTGGGCCCCAGGCAGCACTGGTGGGACCTTCCCCTAACTCAGGGCAGCTGCACTGGTGTGGCCAGACAGAGCCAGCTGCCCACCACCACACAGGCCTACGACACCTGGCAGGCCCTGCCATGCCACAGCACACCATCACAACAGGCATATAGCGTCACCAGGCATCCTGAGGCAAGGGGGAATGTGTAGAAAGCGGGGCTGGGGAGCATCTCTGGCCTGGTAGCAGGGCTGAGGCAGCTGTGCCCACACCTCTGGGGCAGGGTTGGCAGCACAGGGCTCAGGACTGATACACACTGGCCCGTGCAGTTCTGGCCCTGCTCCCATAGCTCCTACTGGGCCTTTTGTTGTAGTCCTACCACAGGCCAAGGTTAGAAAGTGTTCAGGAGTAGCAGAGAGTGCTAGTTCCTATTTGGAAGCTGTACAAGGGTGAAAAGCTTCCCCCCCCCCCAAAAAAAAGCTTAAGATACTAAGAAAACAAGATACAGTAGGGATGGTATGATAAAGACAGAAAAATGGGGGAGGTGTTGCTGCAAGTTGTTAATCATGAATGTAGTTAGGAAGCGCTATGAAATGCAAAGGTGAGGAGAGGTGCATGTTCACACAGAGTAACCTGCACTTTGCTTTCCAGCTGCCATGTTCCACAGAAAGCACTATTGCTGGTTAATCCAAGTTTTACCTTAAGCAGTCATGAAGGAGGAGGGTATGAGCAATGCCCTCATAGTGTAAAGTTGTTCTGCTACGATATACTGCCTATTCCTCTACATTGGAGAGAAACAGGAGTATCAGGGAAAGTCTGAAGTGCAATGGAAAAACATTACCCAGTAAAGAGAATAAAACAAAGCTTCAAAATGAGCACACAACTATCCTTGTCTAACAGTTTTTGGCTAGTTTTAAGTGCAAAAACTGTGTTGCAAGAACTTCAGCATATGAGAATCTGCACAGACTGCCCAGGAGAACAGCTTGAATGACAGAATCCACACGTTTCCTTAGTTGCATTTATTGTGCAGGAACTTCAAGTCACATTTTACTGCTTTTCATAGAAATTATATAAATTGATATACACAATCACATCAAAACCTGAGTTCTAAAACCAAAAACATCTGTATTTCTTACATGTATACTATAAAATCCTGGCTGCATTTTCAAGAAACAACAGTTAAGGAAAACAGCCTAGTGTTAGATAGCAGCAAAACCTCCAATATTTTCTGTTTTCCTTTAAATGAAACGACCCTCATGTGTGTTGCACACTAAACATTTTAGTTATTTCTAAAGTTGTCCCCTAGGACTAAAGTAGGATGGATTAGTTTTCTTCAGTTATTCTTACATTCAACTACAAGACAACTCCTCACAAGAGCCTTTCACATAGTTTTGGCTATTGATTACCCTGTCCCCACAGAGGTATTGGCTACTAAAATAATTCTTGGTCTATATTGGTAGACAAAGTAGTACCCAGAATAGAATGGTTCTTTCATCAGCCTTCCCAATAAACCCAGAAACAGAAAGTTGTTTCTCCAACTTCTAAGAGACCTCTGCTTTTAATCTCCCTCACATACACCATTGTAGCTTTTGAATCAAGATGCTGACTTTTTCCGAAGAGTCAAAATAAAGAGCAAGGGTGCATGTAACATACAACTTTAACAGGATATTTAAACCCATTCAACACAAGTTATTTACTAGGTCAATGAAAAGCTTGCTCTGAATTATTTTAGTATTAAGTTAGATTCTTGCTCTGCCAACTGAACTTTTTGATGAGCTGACACAGACTCCTAGTAACAGGAAAGTTATTAGCCCTGAAGATCTTAAGATAAAGCCAGAATCCTGAACAACTGCTCAAACTGCTTATAACATTCTTCTGTACCCCACACTTACATGTGAGATTTGTCATTCTAGGGCACCCATCGCTTTCTTTTTAAATCCTTAATTGGATGCCAAATTTCCCCACTGGCACAAGCAATAGTTTAATTCCTTTTCTTGACAAAAAAAGGAGACAGATCTAGAAAGCAAGTATCCACTTTGTATAGGATTATTGAAGTATGCTACCTCTAACGCTGGAAGTAATGCAACTCAGTGACAGAACACATCTAGTCTCAGCTTCAGCACTAGAAATCAAAAAGACATCCTTTGCAGTGTCAGATTTTCTAGACAACAAGTTTGTATTCTAGAAATATAAAATACTTTGGTAGTTTGAAGCTTAAAGGATACAGTACAAAACAACAACAACTGAACAAAGGTAAACCATTACCTCAGGTCCAACTTTAACCTATTAGTAATTACAAATCCTTGAAGCTCCAGAACTTTTTTCAGAACTGATGATCTGGAGAGCCAGTGTCCAGTCATAATAGGCTTATAGTGCATGCAGAGCTCATCCTTCCAGCTTAACTTCTATTTCAAAATGTGAAAGATCATTGAAGAAGAGTCATCTGTACAAATCAGTCTCAGTATTACATTATCTCATGTTTCCTCTGGAGCTCCAGCAGTTTTCCAAATGCTGTTAAGTTTTGATTTGCTGAGATGTTAATGCCAATAGTCTCTTGCTGAGCAGTGCATTGTGTCGCTGAAGATATTCTATTACATCTCCTTGCTTCTCAACTATCTCTTCTAAACTTGAGTTTTCCCTTGAAACAAAAGTGAATATGGGTTTCAATAAGTGACATCAGCTTTCTAGCATACAAAATGTCAGAGCTAATTAAGAAATACTCTAAGTTACTTCCTTCAGGTTTTTTTTGTTGATCTCAACTAACTTTTGAGGGGAGGCAGCAAGCTACACCACCTTTATGTTTAGTCTCCATTTTGCATGAGAAGGCAGGAAAAGAGTTTGGCTAAGCTTCATGCCATCTATACATAACCAAGTTACATATTTCCTGCTAAGAAAGTTACAGTGAAGTTGTAGTGGTGTAAGGGTTGTTACTGTCTAACAAATTTAGCGAGCCAGGCAATTGTACTGAGAAATTGGTGGCACCTTTTCCAAAAGCATTAGGAAGCTCATTGTAAGCAAGCACAATATTTTTATTCAGCTGAGGATAAGCTGTTTAAGACAAATTTCTTTGCTAACCTGCAGTAGCATACATGATATACTACTATATACAGCAATATTATTATATGTCACAATACCATAACAGCATCAGCACCACACAGTTGTGCTATTTCAGGTGTACCACCTCATGTATAGCTAACCTCCCACTTAAAGTATCTCCAGCTTTCAGACATTCCTCATTTTAACTGGGATAACAACACTGTAACATTAAGTAAAGCCAAGTTAGTTGAGAAGAATCTGTAAAAGTACAAAATTTTGTCAAACCTATAATTAGGAACTTTTAAGAATACAGCAAGAACAAATACCAATCCCTGAACATATTCCAGTCTTCCTTTACACATTATTTCTTCCTAGCTGACTTGGGAACCTGACCTCTTAGTATACATGTGAGCATCTTGGAGCTTAGAAAGCTGCTTCTTGGCCCTGTAGCATTTTGTGTAACACTACCACCCTTTTCATAGTTCTTAGAAAGGGCTGAGAATAGCTAGAGGGGAAAAAAGCTTAGGTCCAATTCTAAACCTGCTGTAGTTAAACTGGAAAAAATAAAAGAAGTTTCATAGACAGAAAGCTTGTAACCTTAACCAGTTGCCCTACCAACTTAAAGGACCATAAGAGGTCCTGATCAGTAGCTTATGTTGTAGAGGTCATAATACTCAAAAAACATTCTTATAACCAGGGTCAACTGAAGGGCTGACAGGATTCACTTTTCAATAGACCTTAATTCTCAAGGGAAAGAGAGTCAGAGTTGTATAGAGCTAAATTAAAATAACTGTTTTGCAATCAGTTCTCACAGGAAGTTTGCACTCTTTAATCAGAAATAATCAGTCTTTTCCTCAGCTGGTCATTGTTGCAGACTCATTCCCTGGGCATTTGAGAATTTCTCAGGGGAGAAGCTGAATGTGGAAGAAATAAGGTCCACCATGCATTCACCATAGTGTTTATATCAAGATGGAAGTCAGATATTGTATCAAAATTCAAGACAACTCCAAATCCTTCCTGTATCCTGGACATCTACTTCCAAGTTCCATAAAAGCATGCACATGCTGCATATGTGACACAAGGGGAAGTGCCAAATCATTAGTCATCTCTGCACTTCAACTTTTTACTAAGGCACACATACAGAAGCAATTCACACTGTATCAGAAAATTTCTAAAACAATTTTTATATGGAAATCCATGTTAGTTTTGATGACTTTTTTGTTAAGTGATACCAGATTCATTTCAGCAACTGGAAGATGTTCAAGCAGTCAGAAGGTACACAAAGGACAAACCAGAAAAATCTCAGTGCTTGTGACGTTAATGTTGTATTATTCTCAGTGAGATCTCCATCTCACTGAGAACTTCTTTACCTCTTAAAGTGCCCCACCCACTTTTAAAGTTCCTTCCCAAACTGGAATCCCTTGCTGGAATCTCATGTCCAACTGCTAGCACAGAACAAAACTACAGAGTTTTCTTCTTCATTTGTCAACTGCCTACAATACATTTCCTTCCCTGAAAGAACTGGTTGCAGAAGCTAGACTTCTATAGGGATACTGTAAGTAACAGTGTAAGACACCAGTATCTTTCCTCAAACTCCCATATAAAGTCAACTAAACCAGACTAAGCAGAATTATTTATAGAACATTAAAGATTCATGCAACCAGCCATAAATGGTCAAATCATTTCTGTCCTTGTGTTTGAGCATTTCTGTATCATAACAAATTGCCATTAGTACACAGAAAATACAAGACTGTCCTGCTTCTCATCTGTGCCTGTAAAATAGCAGCCTTAAGCATAGTTTCCCTAAGAACTATTATTCCCACTTCTACTTTGGTTGATAGATTTAAAATTATATGCAAGTCTACAGAGATTAATGCCATTACATTAGTCAGTGTTACCTATATACCACGGCTGAACATAGTACAATATTAATACAGAAAATCTTACCTGAATCCAATTTCTGAGGTAATGTGACTAGGGTAGGCATACATCTTTTCTTCTTCAATTATGTCAGGTCTTGGCTTCGCACGATTGAAGTTGCTTATTTTCACTGCAACAGAGTTTTATAAATTAGTTGAAAAGCAACAAAAAAAAAAAGATAAAAGCTTTGTCATCACGCTCCAAGTTAAAAACAAAAAAAATCTGTAACTGATGAGTGCCTTAGGGTAAGAGATTGAAAGACAAGGCAATCTGAGGAGTAGGACAGAAAGAAAAGCAAAAACCTATTTCTGCTCATTTCTGGAATGGCCTTGATTTAAGTTAGTGGTGGTTTGGTGGTTTTGTTCGCGTTTTGGTTTGGTTTTTTCCTCTTCTCTCTCCTCAGCCCCGCTGCTCAAAAGACCACAGAGAAGTGAAGACCTAAATGGGGAAGCTTGAACATACTGCTTAACATTTGCAAAGTTTAATCTGTCACCTAAAAGTAGGTAAAACTTCAGTTGCCTTTGAGAGGCTACTGAGATTCAGTTTCTGAATTCAGGCCATAAATTAAGCAAGATGCCATAAAAAAAAAGTTGTAGAAAGTTCTGATACTAGTATCTAGGTCAGAACTTCTGACTTCAGCTCTTTGATAAATACTATTTTAACTAGACTACCTGCAACAAAGCAGCAGCTTGCCTGCCTGCTCTAAAACTAGGGCAGACTTGCTACAGAAAGCCATTAAGTGTTCAAACCAGAGTAGCTCTGTGATCAGCTTCAAACTGTGAATCTTGCACTACTGACTATCAAAATAATTCTTGGGCAGAAGTCATTCCTGGGCACCCGTGAAAAACTCTAAATTTAAACAGATGTAGAATGGGGATGGGTGGGAGAAGCTGTAGGCACCCTCTGCATTATTTCTGGAAGGAAGCTGAAAATATTTAAAGCCATTCAATACCAGATCCTGACTGAGCGAATGTGCCAAGAGATCCAGAGTATGCATTCAGGATGCTGCAGTTAAGCCTGCTTGTAAAGCAATACATCTAATGCCACTAAAAACACTGAGTCCAGCTCTGTGAGAAATCCACAGCACCGCCCCGGAGAAAGATTGTCCTTACAAGTCAATAATATGATGGGGTTTACTACAGGCCACCCTGCTAAAACCACGCTAAGACCCTCCCCAGAGGTTAACTACAAGTTAAGCTCAAAGGTTAGTTATTTTTGTGGTGGTATTCCTCTACAAATAAAGGAATAGACGGGGAATTACCAACATGCATTATTTGTGGGAATGTTAGTCTTTTATTCAAGTGATATTAGAAGTATGTAAGAAAGTCATTAAATACATATATTTAGTAGACCTTTTAAAGCTTAACTCCCTATCTTATCAATAACAAACTTACAACAGTAAGCTGACATTTTTAGCTGTATCATACTTCATTCCATGCACATTTACCTCACTTGAACAATTTATGTATGTCAAGTGTGTTATAGGTCAATCACAGCAATTCCTGTAGATTTCCAAAGCCCTGCTTCTGCATCCTGCAGCTATATACACACACATGCTGCTGAATAATTTTAAGACAGGCAGTGGTACTTCACAGGACATTGGGCATCATATGATTCATAAAACAGCTCCAACAAGCTAGAAGAAATATTTAAAACTACAATCAGGTCCATGCAACCACTTTTATTTGTGAGGCAGTAATATTTAAATGAAAGTCAGTCAGGTATGTGAACCTCCTATAGATAAGCATTTATGCCTCATTCAATAGTTAAATAATTATTCCACCAGGGAGAAACAATATATGAACTGGTGCTACCATCCCTCCAAAATTTGGGAGTAATATACTAACACAAGGGGTTGATCATGAGTTGCTAGTGTAAAGTGACCTTTATCTCCCCTTTGTTGTTCAGCTACATTAGCTGATACTATTTTAACAGTAAGTGGTACCTGCGAAGTGCTTACTTTGGAGAGGGGCACTCTAACCCTGAGCTGAGAGGACTGCCCTTAAAATCATCCTACTAAAGCAGCTTCATGCTTCCATCTAGTCACATACTCTGCTCAAGAGAAAAAAAGTGTCTAGTGTCCCTATTACTACAGAATCTCAGGCTATTTTCAAAACTAGCCAAATACATTTGCTTTGCTTAAGTAGAGCTTTAGTTTGATGCTTAAAGTGTTAAAACCACCACTACATACATGAGACAGACATTCATGCAGTCTTAGCTCACCTCAACATGTATTGAGATGGAAAACAAGAAAACAAGTTACACTACCTGCCGGGAAAGGTGATTGGCAGTCTTCCTCATCTTGAGGCAAGTGTTAAGTCACATAAAAATTAACCCTAGTTTTCCACACCAAGCTTTAGAGAATGAAGTTTAGACTGTTGTTTAGGGGCTGCTGAGGAAGTAAGGTAGCTGTTGCCAAAAGAAACTGCCTTACTCTTCCTAGCAATGCAGCTCTGCTCCTCCTTCACCTTGGCTCCAGGACTCACTGGACCCTTCTTCAATGCAATTTGAAAGCAAAAATCTTTGCACCCCACAACTTCCTAGTGCAAGTTGGTTAACAGATTTCACAAACACAGGAAATGGCAGAGTACAAGCCAGAAAACACAATCCTTTTTGTGACAAATAACCAGAAAGATAGTTTAATATTTCTTATGGAAGTCCAGGCTCAGACCTTACTACTGTGAAGGTCAACTTTCTTGCAGTTGCTTATCCTTTTCTGCCAAGGTAAGAGACACACACAACGTAGCTCTTTGAGCTCCAAGAGGCCTCAGGGTAAGAAACAGTGTTTCACTGGAATTCCTGATGTTCTGCTAAAGTTTGCAATTTACCTCTAACTTCCTGAGTTTCCCAGGAAAGTAAGTATGCATATGCAAAGAAGGTATGATCTCCAGCATTCTTAGAATAGTTCTCTAGGACTGCCATGCTTGTGTTCCCTCATCATTGCCTTTATCCCTCCAGAGGACAGTCAGTCTGCTTGAGCCATGCTGGTCCATTCAGGGGAAAGCCTGACAAGCCTACAGCATTCAGGCCTCTGCACAGTCATAAGACAAGGACATAGAGCTGGGACCTTATTTCTGGTTGCATTTAGATTTCAATGTTGTTGCTGGAGAGCCAAGAAGAGATTTTATGTCCTAGATGACCATGCTACTTAGCAGTACTTCTCTGTGCATCATTATATTACTAAGAACAAAGTTTTATGCTCCAGAAGAAAATATATCCTAGATTAATTACTAATTATAAAATCACATACTCAGATTAACAGAAATACTGACCTCCACAGAAAATGGCTTTAAGTTTCATGAACTCCTGAAGGAGGTACTTCCACACTCTTTCCTCCTGTTTGATTAGAGATCAGGAGCAAACTAACTTTTGCCAATTGGTTTTGCTCCCCCCACCTCCAAAGAAACCAGTACCATTGAGGCTATTTAGTTAAGGTGTCAGCTCCATGTTTGTAGCTTCAAATAATCAGAAAGCAGCATCTGAGAAGCAGGTATATAAACTATTTAACTCAAGAGCAGGAACTACATGCCATTCAAACAGCCATGGAGTTCACAGTACACATCTCTACTTTTCTTCAGGCAAGAAAAATTTCATTTTTTTAGTGTCCGGTACCTTTTCAGTGGTTTGTTTTTTGTCTAACCCAGTTATGTTTGAGCTAATGCAAGCCTTCAAAACTATTTGGATTTGTGGCAAGATCAGAGAAAATAATAAATGCTTTGAACCAAATAAACACTTTAGATAGTTCTGCAATAGTTTAATGGAAAGAGGTTTATAAAATCTTGATAAATTACACCAAAACTAAAAGCAGATAACCTTACAAGCTAACAGTGACAGCACAAAGCAAAACCTCACCATTTTATGCAGCAGAATCCTATTTTAGTATTAGCACCAATTCCAAAAGCCATCTTTTTTTTCAAACATTCATTAAAGGGAATCTTCCATTTTAGAGACAAAGAGGAACTGAAGCTTTTGAGGTGAGATCAGGGAAAAAGGAAGTCTGGATAGTAAATCACAATCACACTATCAACTATGGAAGTCACACATGTAAATCCCAGAAGCAGTCCTGATTAAGCTAGTGAACTCTTACTGCTTCACAGCTTGTAGTGCACACATTTGAGAACACACTGCTAAACAGACATTTTTTGCCACTTCAGTGGATTGACAGCTTTGAGGTAACACAGAACTTTCATTTAGCAGCACTTGGATACTAAATCAGGCCTGACAACCTCTCCATTTGTCTTGGATTTGACTTAGATCTCCCTCTACAAGTACAGAATCATTCTGTATTTATAGTTTGCAGTTAAATGTCTTGGGGTACCCCAAGTGAGCTACTGTGAGGGCAAACAAAACAGTTCAGTAGCAGCTATAGTAAGTCTCAAGAAGGCAAAAGTTGCCTCTCTCACCTGTGTAAATCACTAAGCATGTCAGGGAGCTAATCAGCTCCAGGCCCAGGACTCCCAGGATAAGATACAGGTACACTTTACTGCGATCAGGAAAGGAATGCTGCATTGACAGAATCAAAAGCAGGGCTGCATTACCTAGAAAACAAATGTTATATTTTACAGGTGTAAAAGCTTCACTACCTGTTGAAAATAACTTAGTACTCTTAACCCCAGTGTCTGCATTAGGCTGCAACACTTAAGTAATGCTTTTCCATTGCATACCATACTTGCCTCTTTTGCCAATTTCCTTAATACAGGTGATGCAAGCTTATGCTGCTCACAACAAAATATGGTTTCATTTCAGCATTTGACAGTAGTGGTAGAGAATGATGAGTTGTACATTTTTCTGATTTAAAAACAAGAGTGGAAGAAATGCACTGGAAATACCTAATTATACATGTGTGGGCTCAATTTCTAGCTTTGTTGCTGCTACTTATCCCCAGAACTGCCTGGACATTATTTATTTATTTTAGTTCCTAAGAGGTCATATCAGTCAACTCCAAGAGGGTACTTTCCTTCAGGTGGTGGATTTGAGTGTATTTAAATGAGGCTAACAAAGCAAGACACAGACACCTTCCTTTCTCAAGGAGATACTTGCATACGCTTCCAGTTGCCTAGCTATTATTTTACTACTTACAAGTTACTTAAAGTTTAACTGAAATGAGCACAATTAGTCAAAGACAGCAAGTATTGAGTTACAGACCTAATGAGCATCCTTAGTTTTTTTACACGTCCTCTTCTCCAACACAGAGAACAAAACATTCTCTTCTTTCCTGTAGACATACTATAACCCGTGTCCCAAAGCAGCAGCATGTTGAGATCATTAACATAGCTATGAAACTGTACAGTTCTCTTTCATACTGCACTAGGCAACTGAACTGTCAGGATGGAAGTGGTATCAGCAGCAACTAGCACGGCAGGGAGTTTGCAGTAATGAAGCTAACCACCTTCTGAACTACAGATGATCTACATCCAAAAAAAAAATCTACAGCACACAACTGATAGCACCTGAAAACATGTCCTATTTGTCTGGTAGGGGATAAGTGGGCTCCACCTACGACTGAACACAGGACTAAGTATTCCAGATTATATTGCATAGGCAGAAATAGTCCTTTTACTCTTTTGAAGCATCTTAAGCCTGCTGTAGCCTGATTTTGTCACTGCACTCCACAAACACATCTTTATCTTCAGAGCTCTATCTAGTGGCCAGAGCCTGAAGTTTTCCACATTCATCAAGCTGACTAGATTTTTTAGTGAAAGCTAGGCAGAAAGAAAGCTAGCATTTTATATAAAGCAGACCCTCTAACATGAATTCTAGTGAAAGTTCTAGTCCAGTTATTCAGAAAATTTATAGAAGTGGGATTATAAAAGGCAAAAAATATTATGAAAGCTACCCTTGTTTCCATTTCCACTATTTGTGTGAAAAATCCCCTCAAGTCAGATTTTGGATTTGCTGAAGTAGTTTCTGAAAGCTACACAAGATAATTACATCAGCACTTCTTTCAGCTTCACTGGACAGTGATGTAACCTAGAATATATACTATTAAACCACTCCCATACACCACCTTTTGTCCACAGAAAGTAGAAAAAGGCAGTCAGAGTAGAGCTGAATGTCACATATGGCCACATATTGCTTACTGATTTCAGACAGCTGTTGAGCAACAGGCAATTAATTTGTTTCTACATGAACTGTTGAACTTAAGAGTAGCACAGTTCCTGGAAGGACTAGCAGTCCTGTCACATATCTGACTACACAAATGAGTATGGCTGCTAGTGATGTTGATTTGCAAACACAGACCTTGCTGGCTGAACACTAGATGCAGGCATTTTTCCACTACAAAGTTCTTTACAACATGCATCTGGCAGGACAGAAAGGTCAGTCAGGAGGTCCATCTGACCAAAATAAGTATCATTTATAAATGCTCAGAGGCAGGTTTTTTAAAGTTCATAATATATAATATACATCTATATATAAAAGTGTTCAGTCTTTTATTGTGTCTAGTTTAAAGCTTTAGAAGAAAAAACAGGAAAATAAGCTCACCTGTGGAGTGTATCAGCAGTGGAAGCCTTTTTAGATGTCTTGTTGATCGGTATATTGAGAAGTAACCTCTGCTTCTGACTTTACTGTGATGGTGCTGGATGTATCGTTCAAAAATAACATGCAGAATCCACAGAATTACTTTTGCAATAATTATGACAGTCTGCACTTTGAGTGGGTGAGTATAGTTCCCAGGGCACTTATCCTGATTTGGATTGGGATAAGAACAAAACATAGCTGCTAAGAATGCTAGAACAACAAAAACAACCTGGAAAAAAGAATGAGAAAAACCACTCAAAGTCAACCCTTCTTTTCTATTAGTTGTTATGCAATTTATTCATTATGCATTACTTTCCAAATTGATTTTAGTAGAGCTGAGATAATGTATAAAACATTGGACACTTACTACAACAAATACATGTTATTCTGGGAACATACCAATGACCAAAAATGGTAAGAAGTAAGATTGCCTTCCAGGAAGGCGACCTGCCTCCAGCAGAACAGAGCTGAGAATCACCACTCTTCCCAAAATTTACTCTAATTCAGTTTGACTGTTGAAGTCTCCTCTTCATAGTGAATTTATCTTATTTCTGGACCCTCTTTACTATGTAATTTTACTTTAAGGGGAACATGGTTTATACTCCCTTAAAATAAATCACATCTTTAGACTCAATTACACTTTCTAATGCTCTGCAGGACAGATTCCTATCTTATTGGTTTACCCTACATTTCTTTAAATTGACAATTCATAAGTGAAAATCAACCCTTTACTATATCCATTGAAGAAAATCTCCAGGTTATGACATTAGAAAAAAATGAATATCATCATAATAAATTTTAAAAAAATGAACTAACGTCTTTGCCAGTTGGTAATCATTCTTGAGTATATTTACTATCAGATTTTTTATATTTTGCTCAGAACTTAAGTCAGAATGACCAGACTGTAGCTGGTCAGATTGTATATACACTTATCATTTCAGACTAGTGCCATTATGCCATAACTTTTCCTGTCTTAGACTTCCTTCCAAATTTTCAGCATCAGCAGTAAGCATCAGCAATTTTTTGGCCAACTAGAAGGCAGAGTCTTGGGTGCACATTATCTGGGGTATATGTATGCACACAGGGCTTCTTTAATCTTTATAGAATGTTTTTGTCATAGAAGATATTCTACTGCTTTCATTCAGTGAACCAGAAAATGACACTTTCTCATCCTGGTTCATTCTAGAATAAGAACATTTTAAAAATAGAACTGAAAAACTCAACTCATACAAATACAGAAGTAAATTGAGAGCTTCTATATACAACAAAAATAAAAAAAAAAAAAAAAAAATCAATTAACATACTTAGTTTAAGAAGCATCTAGTGTTCTGCATCTCATAACCAATAGAAAAAACAAATCAGAACTGAAGATGAAGTGTCCAATTTTCGTTTGCTAGTTTTGTTTCCATACTTAATTCTACACATGTCTAAGAGCCCAGCACTCCCCTCTTACTCCCTTTATTTTTCATATTTTTGTTATTTCCAAAGCAACTTTCTTCACAGAAAGTAACCTTGTAGAACCACTACCCTTAGCTTGCTCTCGTGAACAGTTCAGTAACTGGGGAGGTAGGGAGGGAGAAGAGGGAATAATTTTCACACAATCATCAATACCCAAGAAAGACATTATAGAGGACAGACAGGGTAAAAGGTTGGAGAAAAAAAGAGTATGTCCTGTATTATCCATAAAGCCATTACTTCAAATGCAAATTAAATCCTAAATTATCTTGAGATGAGTTAAGCAGCTAAATTAAGAGGGAGATTTATCAAAACATTTCTTTACTATTTTACCACCTCCTTTTCCTACAAAGCTAAGAATAATCCAGCTAACTCATACTTTATTTGGCCCATTTATTGTTTGGTTTGACATTTAGAAACAGTAACACATCTAGTTCTACTCCCTCCAGGTGTTAGGAATGTATTTCATTACAAAAAATGGCTATATTAAACTGATGCAAGCAGGAATGGCCTAGCATTGCAGCTCTACCGATCTACTACAGCAGTATACACAAGAGGAAACAGATAGCTGATATTAAGAGTTGCATTTAAGTATGTTTTGCTTTTTTAGGACAGTCCAACAGGTGCTTCACTCCAGTACAGAGGATTTTTATATACAAAATATTATTATTAAAGAGTAGTATAAGTTCAAAGTATGTGCATACACAGAGAGGATTAAGGAAAGACAGGGTTAATATAAAGAAATTATTTCCAGCCTGTACACTTTACATTGCTCTCCAGAGTCTGCTGATAGGAGCCAGAAGCCCACAGAAAAGCAAGGCTTGGCAAAAGGAAAGCCGCTCAAAAATCCAGCCTCACACTCCAGTATATTCTGCCCACACACTCCAGAACTGTATGTAACTAGGCAGCTGCACTGAAGATGTTATTTGCTACCTATCTCCATTTCTTGACACAGGAGGGTGGAGTAGAAATATTCCAAGTTACATACAAATTACACTAGAGATGCATTGCAGCTCTACTGCATAATACTACAATAGCTTAACTTCTCCAGGATACTTGCCCCTTTGGCAGGCTGTGCATTAGAAGCTAACCTGGTGTCTCCATGTTCTGCAAGGTTTGTTTGTGTTTGCAGAAGCAGAGGGGAAGGAAATCCAATGAGCCTGTTTTTTCCCATCCATCTTTTCAGAAAGACAGCACCATTTCATGTGGCAATTATAATGCTGTATTTCACCAACAGAAAAGGATACTTCTCAATTCTGCTCAAAGGACCAACAGGCCACTGCAGGAGGCTCAGCAACAGCAGCAAGACTTTACCTCAGAAAGTGTGTGCTCACAGAGGCCTCAGCAGTTTTCACTCTTCACCTGCCCATGCTTCTCTCCATTTGCAGGAGAAGAAGCAGTTTCCTAGCATCTAGGTGACTGACATTTGGCTACAGCAGTAGACTGTAAGGCCCCAAGGCTAGGTAGAAAAACATTTACTGCTCTACTACCAATAGCAGTGTCTCGTACCAGGGTTCTTCTGGTAGGGAGAGGGAACAAGGCTGGATATGCAGTTTCCATTGGGAATTCTGGTAGTTTATTCAGCAGAACAGAAGCCTTTCCTAAATCTACTTGACAGACAGAAGTGACAGACATTTCTTGTTATTACTAAGAGGCCCACAAAACATTTACTTCCAAAATTAGAAAGTTAGGGCATACTGTTAAAACAGCTTCATGCAGCTATCCAAAGAGAGACCCTCAGAAGTTGGTATGTGCTTAAAGTTCTGGCAGAGAGTATGTTTTGCAGAGCACTGGACACAGTATTTTTTTGCTTGAGATCAAATAAAGCTCAAAAATGGCTAGCAACACACACACGTCTTGTGCACCCTCTGGCTTTATACACATACTATCTTCAGGTCAGTGTTACTGGCATTACAGAATTATTTAGGTTGGAAAAGACCCTTAAGATCATCGATTCCAAACATTTACCTAACACTACCAGGTCCACCACTAAACCATATCCCTAAGCACCATGCAAGTGCAATTTCAGTTACATCTTAGGATCAGTAGCCCTTCACCCTTCCTTCATCACGGTTTCTACATACTCACAAGCAACAACACACCTCTTCAGCTTATTGAGGATAAACTCACTACTAGGCAGGAGTAGAGAGACTCCTGCCTACCAGCCTTGAAAAGGCCTTCATACTGTTCAGTACAAGATTTGTGCTTTTCACCCTTAAACAGTCAATATGTCAGAGGAAACATAACATCTGAATTCCTTTCCCTCTCCATCCACTACCATGCAAAACCCCTGGAGGAAGTCCAACTTTACTTGTTTAGTTACCTTAAGAAATACCTTAAGTCTACTCTGTGAAATTAAGTCCAACCTCCAGAAGGCATGGCATGAAAATTATCTTAACTCTCTAACTAGTATAAGCATTCCTACAGCAGTAATATTATTTTAAAATTACATTTCCAATAGCATGGAAGAACTACTATTTAAAAGGCTTTTCTTCCTAACAAGATGCATTGTATCATGTTAATGCCAACAAACAATCAGAATGAGAACACATCAAGTACATACCATATACATTATCAAAAATCACTGGCAAATAGGACTTCACTGGTTTGAAAGAACAGTGTATGCAAATCTCAGGAGAATCCCATCCACATGAACAGTAAGAACTCAGAATAGAGACAGCAAGTTTTCATAAGGAAATCATGCTTCTTAAACTTACATGTATTAGCAACAGAAAATTGGCAAAGAGAACTGCTGGGATAGCATGAAATCTTGGCCTCAGTTGGGAATGCAATGTATGAGATGAAATAAGTGGTGCATCCAGTAGAGGATCATCTTCCAAACTCTGTGTTATTTCCAAGGAACCCTGGAACAGAAGGGGAAGGCAAAGAGTAACAACAGGTAAGCTCTAAAACTAAAGTATAAAGTTACAGCAATTTCTTGTTAGCAAAGCAAGCTTTGGGAAAAAAATACTAGGTTAGCATCTTAAGACAAGCTCTTAAATTCTAGGCAAATTTTCATCACATCTTTATGTGAGAACTTAGTCCCCGAGGAATCCAATACTAATCTACCTCCCAGAATCACAGTGAGTCTTCAGGGACTTTAATCTTTAGAGTGTATTACAAGTATGTGAGCAGCACTCCTGAGAGATACAAGTATCAGCATGTTTATTTGAAAAGGTGGAAGAAGTGACAAAATCTGTCTTGCATACTTTATACAGGTACTGCAAAAATCCTTGTTATTCCTACTTCTGTCCAGAAGTAAGGACAAAGCTGCAGTGCACCAGTAACAGCTGCAAGTGATTCAGTTACTGACATGTCAAAGCACCAGCAGTGGTATTTCGAGCTGAACCCAGACAAGAAAGCAGCAGTAGTAGTTCACAGGGGGAAGATGATGCTACCAAGTGCTGGACATGACATTCTCTGCTTTCACTAGAGAGCATCCACCCCTTACTTGTCATGTAGGCACCAAGAATCAGGGCTTTGACTTCATATTCAGCTCAGATGTTTTGGCTATGTAAGTTTCCAGAAGTAACTTTTACATTTTAAGTAAAAGGTAAAAGCTAAGTATGGGTGGAGGGAAAAACCTTTCCTTGTGGACACAGAACTTGTCCTAGTGCTATGCATCTCTGCTCCTTCCAGGCCAGAGTCATTCAATACATCTTAAGTTGAACATACACAACTACCATGAATGCTCAGACTGCTCAAGTTTCCATTTCCATCTTAGCATCCTGTTATGTCCCACGCTATGAATTGCTTGCTTCAAAAGATAAAGAAACTCAAGATTCCCAATCAAGTGCTGACTGCTCTTCTCCTGAGTGATACCAACCACAGCCCAAAATAAGAACACAGCAGCAGACCTCATCTCACTCCAGACTTGTGGCTATTCAGAGAGACATGCAGGGTTCACTGGGATATCTACTGGTTTTAAATGGAGGACTTCCCCCTGCCATGGCAGAAAGCAGCACAAGCCTCAGGACAAATAAGTCATGTAATTCTTCTAGACACTAGCACAAGAAGAGAAAGAAGTTTTCAGATTAGACCTAGATTTATACATCATATTAACCAGGACAATGTAGATTGGCTCCCCAGTGTATTTAATCTACAGACAGCTGCCTATAGTGAAGGAACTAGTCATCAAGGGTTATTTCACCATGTAATCAGTTTTATTTTGGTACTGTGAGTGCCACACTTGCCCAACCACAGAGGAGTGTGAACAGGCCTCCTTCACCTATTTGATACCTTTTAATTAACCTAGTCTTTGGCTGTAAACAACTCTTGCTGAAATACCTACCTGGTAAAATGACTTCTTACTACAGGCCTAAAGGTTTACAAGTAGCACTCCTCTTATGTCACTGACATTACAGTCCAGAAACAAGAGTACTAAGATGCCTTCTGTCCCTCATCCTCCATTTTCATGGCCCAGGTATAATTTTAAACTCTGAAAGCAACTGTGCAGGATAGGCACTTCAGCAGCCTCATTCTTCCCTGTCACAGAATTAATAGCAGAGTTAACAGCTCACACTTTCCACAGAGGCAGTGATGCTCCTTACGACAATATTCTTTGTCTTGTAAGAACAGGTAAACTCACTACTTCCGCAATACTGTAACAGATCAGCACACTCCTTCACAGGTGGAGCTTTATCAGAACATATCTGACCATGTTACTTACTGCAAGACTGGCTACAACCCATCTTTACATCCCAAAACACAGCTAGCGTTAGGAAGGGCTGGATGACATAACCTGCCCGAGTAGGATATTACAGCCAATGTGGGGAGAAGGGAAATTAAAGCAAGAAAGATGACAATGCCACGCAGTTAATCTGACATTAAGCCAATTCAGTAAGTGTCCTAATTAGATCAAACACGGGTTTCATTTAATGAGGATGAACCAAAACCGCAGCTGTCAAAAGTCAAAACGCCTTACAAAAATGGGTCTTCTGTTAGGCACTGATGTTACCACAAGCACAGGTTAAGGCTCCAGCCTCTCGGCTCCCTGATCCATTTCCAGCATGTGACCACCGCCGCAGCGGGCCAGAACCAGGAGACGGAGAAGGGCAGGCAGGAACAGGCAGAGCCACAGCCAGCAAGCCCTGCCCGCGCAGGCTTCCAGCTGCGGGGAGCGGGAAACACCCCAACAGAAAAACGCCGTCATCACGCCAGCACACAGCATATAAACCAAAGATTACATTTACGGGATCTGCCTGTGGAAAAAAGTAACCCAGAAGAACTAAACAAGCTACACGAGCACCCTCGATTAAAGACAACCCCACACCCAGGCTACTCGGGAGTATGTGAAGCAGGGCTGGGGAAGGGCAGCGGCCCCTACCCGCAGGCAGCGGCCCCGGCGGCCTCCTTACTTCCGAAACGGCCATTTACGAGACGCCGCGGCCGGTTGCTCCCCCCGGAAGAGAAAAAACGAAGCCTCCAGCGCCTAGTGCAGAAGGCAGCAGAAAGAAGCGGCAGAAAAAGACGAAACAGAAAGCGAGGCGCTCCCGCACCCACCCGTAACGGCAGCCGGGCCTCCCACCCCTGTAAGGAGCCGCCAGCCGGCCCGGCCCGGCCCCCCGCGCAGGCCCGCACTCACGTTGTCCAGGTCCTTCCGCCGCCT